TGAGGGTGGAGGTGGTGAAGGTGGAGGTGGTGGAGTTGGTGAAGGTGGAGATGGTGAAGGTGGAGATGGTGGAGTTGGTGTCGGTGGTGAAAAAAAAACAAAGTCGTGGCGTAAGCGAACCCCCAAAATAACTCAGCACATGTGACAATATCACGGTGGCATTAACATGAACATTTTTCCGTTCGGCGACGTTTCGAGCAATGGCCCTTATGTAGCAAACATGTTTAGGAATGGCGTGGACATTTATAGCAGCCAAATACTCTAAACGCGCGATGTTGTTTCCAAATGTGGGGCGAGGGTGGGGCGAACCAGAGGATCCGGAGACAGAGACCACGCGATCACAGACAGAGAGAGAGACGCCGCAAACTCGAAATATGCAACAGGCGTCAGGGTCGGCATCCGACTCACGACCTCCTGCATAGTCAACATCTCGCCACCGCGGCCCTTAATGTGCTACGAAGCAGAACCATTGGCTGAGACGTCGCTTGTGACACACGTTCCCTCTGAAGGCCACCCGCAGCGTTCGTCGACGAACCTGTTGAGCTGTTGACGCGTGCCGCTTGCGCCCGCTGCGGCCGCTCGCCAACGCGGCGGCGGTCGCCAAGTATTTTTGTTGGCGGCCTAAAAAGAAAAAAAACCACAACAGGAGACAGGTGGGAGAGGGCCTCCGAAGGATCGTCGCCGCTCTGCTTCGGATGCGACGGACGACGCTTCGGGAGCGCTGGGGGGGGGGGGGTAATCGTCGACGCTTCCTCGCTCGCCAGCCGGCTAATTGTTCCGACGCGGTCCGCAGTGAGACTTGGCGGTCGCGCGCAAAGCCGCTCGTTCTTGAAGTTTTTTAAAATATCTTTTTTCTTGGTTTCTGACCAGGTGAAAATCCCACACGTCGGCCAAACGTGACTGGTTACTTAAACAATTATTGCATTAACATTCGGCAAGAGCGCACGGCTGCCTGGAATAACAGAGCGCTGTGGTGCGAGGTTTGTGTGTGTGTGTGTGCGCGCGCGCGCGCCGGAATGTTCTACAAAGTAATAATAATACCTCTGTTTGTTCACGACTTGGGTTCGTTTTAAAACGCCGAAGTCTCGTCTGAAAATCTCACCGCAAGCCACTCGGTCATTGAGATGTGGCACGCGTCTGCGCATTGCTTACGACTGCACAGGCAGCCGACTCGGCCACGCAGCAGAAGCGACGTCACTGGTAGGTGCCACCATAAAGGTGGCATCGCTTGAGCGGTTATACAATTGCTGTGTATGCGTGTTACTAATAGCAGCGAATTATGTGATAACCCGTTTGAAATGAGTGGGTTAATGAGTCATTCTCTCTCATTGCCTTTGTAATAAAGAAAAGTGTTGCCACTGAGGTGGTATCAATGACTGTTCCAGCACTACAAAAAGGATGGCTCCAAATATATGGACTATCCATACCTCACCAATATCGCCGCAGTTGATCGGCAAAACTAAATGAATGTCTCTAACAAAATCATCCCGAGAGGATCAATCGCATCTGAAAAGCTAGGCGGGATTCTGAGCCTTGCTCAGTACTTGAACACCTGGAACAAATACCAGGTGTTATAGGCTTCGCGGTGTGAGGCGGCGAGGAGAAAGCGTGAGAGGAATGGGTTCTTGATTTCTATCCGTGTGGAGTTGCCACCCCCCGCTGCTGCTGTGCGTGCGTTGGTCGGGGCTCTCCGGTGTCCTCCCACACAAAGCCAAACACTTGTTCGTTGAATGTGCCAAACGTAAGTGATGATGTAGCAGGACCCTCCTGAACACAACATTCGGACTCACGCCTTTCCCGACCAAAATAAAGGGCATTATTGTTGGTGTGTGTAACCCGAGAGAATGCCTTCTTGTTCACACTGCCAATGCCTGATACATTGGCAGGAAGTGTTTTTAATATATAAATGCGTTTATAAAGCAGGGATGCTAAGGTCGTGGTCAACAGTTCGCTCTGCGGGCTGCCTCTGTCCATCCAGACAGTAGAAATTGGAACGCCACAGTGAGTCGTGGTGGGGTATAATGTGGGTGCTTCCCATCGCTTCCAAGATGTTTCTAGAAACATTCGCTGAGAGCATTTGGCTGTTTTTTACATTTCCACACGGTAAAGGCGCTTCGTTGACCTATCATTTTTGGCCAGTTCGCTTCTGAAAAAAAACGATACAGCTCAGTGGGCCTTGCCTGGTCAAATAAAACATAGTTTAGTTCATAGTTAGGCCAGCATCAATGCGTAAAAGCTACACCTTTACCCATATGTAATGTTCTTGCTCAGAACCTCACTCTGAGCCCAGTGGCCAAAGTTTGATTCCTGGGCGCGACAAACGTCGACGGTGAGCGGTGCCCCCCACTCGACCAACCACACTGACGAGTGTGGTGAAGTATGGTCAAAGAACCCCCATGGTTTACACGACGCGGGGGTTGCCTCGTTCCAACGGTGGATTGACCAAGGGCTGTTACATTATTACGAGACGTTGTTTTGTGCTATGAAGAAGGGCCACTACCCGAAACGTCACCTACAATATATTTTTACTTCTCAGGCCACGGTGTTACTGACAAAGGGCGTTGAGATTTGTGGAATCATTATTACTACTGCTCCTACGAGCTTCTGGCTGGACAGTGCTGTGATAGAATGCAGGACTCGGGTTGTAGGTCCCCATCACATCTCGGCGGTGGTATAAAATAGCATTCCATTTTGTGGGAGGAAGTCAACAGCGGCTGGAGAGAGGAAGCTGATCTCCCGTCGTAGGAACGTGGACATTTCCACCAACGGCTCGGAGAGGGGGGTGTGCCCACCAAGGGAGACGAGCTCGCATCACCAAACGCGCCATTGAGCAAAGGAGGGCAGCCTCTCCTCCCACGACTGTCGAGGTCGCTCTGACCGAGTGCCGCGCCCGGCTGCCGCTCCGCCCCGCACGCCTCCACACTGCACCTCGCGCTCCTCGGTGCACGTGGCAAGCCTGGTAGTGCTTGGGGCACGTGGCAGGCCTGGTAGTGCTTGGGGCACGTGGCAGGCCTGGTGGTGCTTGGGGCACGTGGCAGGCCTGGTAGTGCTTGGGGCACGTGGCAGGCCTGGTAGTGCTTGGGGCACGTGACAGGGCTGGTAGTGCTTGAGGCACGTGGCAGGCCTGGTAGTGCTTGGGGCACGTGGCAGGCCTGGTGGTGCTTGGGGCACGTGGCAGGCCTGGTAGTGCTTGGGGCACGTGGCAGGCCTGGTAGTGCTTGGGGCACGTGGCCGGCCTGGTGGTGCTTGGGGCACGTGGCAGGTCTGGTAGTGCTTGGGGCACGTGGCAGGCCTGGTAGTGCTTGGGGCACGTGGCAGGGCTGGTGGTGCTTGGGGCACGTGGCAGGCCTGGTAGTGCTTGGGGCACGTGGCAGGCCTGGTAGTGCTTGGGGCACGTGGCAGGCCTGGTAGTGCTTGGGGCACGTGGCAGGCCTGGTAGTGCTTGGGCACGTGGCAGGCCTGGTAGTGCTTGGGGCACGTGGCAGGCCTGGTAATGCTTGGGGCACGTGGCAGGCCTGGTAGTGCTAGGGGCACGTGGCAGGCCTGGTAGTGCTTGGGGCACGTGGCAGGCCTGGTAGTGCTTGGGGCACGTGGCCGGCCTGGTGGTGCTTGGGGCACGTGGCAGGTCTGGTAGTGCTTGGGGCACGTGGCAGGCCTGGTAGTGCTTGGGGCACGTGACAGGGCTGGTAGTGCTTGGGGCACGTGGCAGGGCTGGTAGTGCTTGGGGCACGTGACAGGCCTGGTAGTGCTTGGGGCACGTGGCAGGCCTAGTAGTGATTGAGGCACGTGACAGCCCTGGTAGTGCTTGGGGCACGTGGCAGGGCTGGTGGTGCTTGGGGCACGTGGCAGGCCTGGTGCTTGGGGCACGTGGCAGGCCTGGTACCGCTCGTGCCACCCTGCCCCTCCCCCCTCCCAGCGAGGTCACGAAATCTAATCTGAGCCAGGGTCGACCTGACCCCCCACCCATCTTCGGCGTTAGATGAGCACCACCTGGTGGCATGGGAGCCGCCTGGTTTCGGGGCTGCTGCCCCGAGCCCTCGCCCAACGTAGGAGGCCGATGTGGAGATGGCTCCTGGGCCATAGGAATGGGGAATGTCCACCACCTGCTCTGGACTCGCAGACGAAGCTCGGGCGGTGCGACTCGGGCGCGCGGACTCGCTTGGGCCGCCGCAAGCCCGAGTCGGTCAGATTGCGTGACGGGCAGTTTGTGTGTGTGGTGTGTGTGGTGTGGCGTGTGGTGTGTGTGGGGTGGTGTGTGTGGTGTGTGGTGTGGTGTGTGTGGTGAGTGGTGTATGTGTGGTGTGTGGTGTGTGTATGATGTGTGTGTGGTGTATGTGGTGTGTGTGTGTGTGTGTGTGTGTGTGTGTGTGTGGTATGTGTGGTGTGTGTGGTGTATGTGGTGTGTGTGTGTGTGGTGTGTGTGTGTGTGGTATGTGTGGTGTGTGTGGTGTGTGTGTGGGGTGGTGTGTGTGTGTGTGTGTCGTGTGTGTGGGTGGTGTGTGTCGTGGGTGTGGTGTGTATGGTGTATGTGGGGTGTGTGGGGTGTGTGTGGTGAGTGGTGTGTGGTGTATGTGGGGTGTGTGTGTGGTGTGTGTGTGGTGTGTGTCGTGTTTGTGGTGTGTGTCGTGTGTGTCGTGTGTGTGTCGTGTGTGGCGTGTGTGTGTGGTGTGTGTGGTGTGTGGTGTGTGCGGTGTGTATGTGTGGTATGTGTGGTGTGTTGACCTTCGAGGTTTGTATCACCCGAATTAAATTAAAATGTGCGCACAGCATTCGTCCTTCACAACAACCCAAAAGAGTAACAGACGCAAACACAGAGCAGAGCGCAAGGCAAGATATTTACTTGGGCAAGGCAGAGCGAAATATGAGAGAGTGTTCCTTTAAGAAGGAGCAGAAGAAGAAAAAAATCGCAGGGCGGTTCTTACAATGAGGGCCAACATTCCATAATGTTTGAGTGCGCTGCTATATAGGGTGCCACGCAAGCCGCCCAGACTCCAGGTAGAGCGGCGCTCAGTAGGGCTACCACCGCCACCACCACCGCCGCCACCACCACCGCCACCACCACCGCCGCTGCTGCTGCTGCCCTTGGCGTGGTTTTCGCCGACGGATTTGACTTTTTTTGTGTGGAATTCGCGCGGTACGTCTTCTCTCGTCTCGCCTCTCGTGGCTGCGAGTTTATTTTCTTTCGCATCCTTCTCCTCATTCACCCCCCCACCCCTCTAGATATGTTTGTTTTTAAATGTAAGTTCGCGAATAATTGCAAAGGGTACGTTTGATAAATGATAAAGTTACACGTTCCTATTATCTGATTATTTGCTTTACACGTATTTTTCAGAATGTCATTTTTATCTGTAAAACAATATCGCTTTAGCCTTTGAAGTGTCATTCAACTGATGTTTTTTTAAAAATATATCAATGTATATGCCCTTATACCTGTGCATTTGAACGAGTCCCACTGCGGTGGACTGTTTATGCTTAGATACCTGGCAAGCTAAAACATAGCTCAGTTCTATTTGTGTACTTTATGGAGTGATGTGTTTCACTCTCCTATGCTTAGCACCCTTGTCCACGTTCTGACCTCGTGCACCTTACTGGACATCTGTGAAAAAGCGCTGCATAGCTCATCGGATTCCTCCCACGTTTGATGCTGAGACTTCACCTCTTTACCGAACGACCGAGAACACCGTCGACAATGTATGACTGACGTTTCTCTCTTTTCATTCCCAACAGATAAAGGGGCATCCCAAGAGACGCGCCCTCTCTCTCCTCCCGCTCCCTCCTCTCTCTGCCGGAGCTTGAGAGCGGCAATCCCCGTCCAACTCACATCCCTCTCACACCGCACCCGTCTCGTCGTCTCTGCTTCACCTCTGCACCACGTGGTCGTCTCTGCTTCACCTGCGCACCACGTGGTCGTCTCTGCTTCACCGCTGCACCACGTGGTCGCCTCTGCTTCACCTGTGCACCACGTGGTCGCCTCTGCTTCACCGCTGCACCACGTGGTGGCCTCTGCTTCACCTGTGCACCACGTGGTCGCCTCTGCTTCACCGCTGCACCACGTGGTCGCCTCTGCTTCACCGCTGCACCACGTGGCCCCTGGCTGCGGAAGACGCGATTCGTACGGCGGCCGCCGTCGAGGTGCAACGTCGAGGAGGCGGGAGTGGAGGTGGTGGGGGGAGCTTCGGTAGAGAGAGAGTGGGTGGGTGTGTGGGTGGGTGTGTGGGGGGTGGCAGGCGACCGAAGAGAAAACGGAGAGTGAAGAATAATCGAGGAGGAGGAGGAGGGAGGGGGGACCCGGAGGGAACGACGCTCCTCGCTCGGCGCGCCCGAGTGGAGGTGTCGGCAAGGGGAGAGGCGAGCGCACGGCAGGCAGCAGGTAAGGGCGTGAGCCGACGGGGCGCACTCCGGCGAGGTTGCGACTTCAAATCCTGAGTTCCGTGTGGCGGGGAGGGGGGGTTGAACTCAGCCCATCATCGTAACCGGGTCGTTTAAATAAGTACCACTTTGTGGTGTGGCGAAGTCGACAGCAGTTGTCATGTGGATGGACTCGCCCCCGTCGTACGAATGCGGAATTTCCACCACCAGCTCAAGGCCGTTATGTAGAGGTGAGTACCGCCGAAATGCCTATTCGAGCGGGAAATCTCATTGGCTGTGGGTTATTTGCAAGCTTTAGATGCCCAATGTGCCGCATGCACACGCGATGTGTGTATACGCTCGTGGAACGCCGTGTTCATCGTTCTCATCATCGACTTTCGCCCACGCTGAATCTCGAGCGACGTTTCGAGGAGGATGCCGCTGCAGGCGTTTTCAGATTCATGGGCAGACGAGTGGCAGCAGCAGCAGGAGCAGCAGCAGCAGCATGAGTAATCGCCAAAACATACCGCAAATAAATGTTTTTTTTGTTTAAATTGGCAGAAGAGAGGCATCTGTCTACGATGCGAATCGAGCGCGAATTCTTCCCAAGAGCCGTAGCGCGAACTCTGAATGGAGATTGTTAAAAGTCGCCGCCGCCGGGAGACGCACACCCACGTGGCTTTCCCGCCCGCCTCCAAGGCGAAGGCGCAGCCCTGCAATAGCTGAGCTCGCGCCGGGGCTGGGCAGAACAAACCTCTGCTCGAGGCTGCTCCTAGAGATCCCCTTGAGAGAGGGTGTGTTTTTGGCCTACTCTTCCATGCTGGCCAGACGTCTTGGCGGACTGCGCTGTGCCCCTCGGCATTGCCGAGTGGACTGACGCGGTGGGGTGGGGGGTGGAGATTCACGGTTGTCTTCAATTGCCGCGTCGGGAAATCGGCGATCTCTGCGCTGCAAGTCGTAGGCTGCACCCCTGTGGGCATCTCATCGTGCCTGCGTCCACTCCGCGTCGATCGTGACGCGTTCGCGTCTCAGTGCGCGCGTGTCGCCGTCGCGGTCAAGCCGGCGGCAGCATGCTGAGTAGTGGCGGTCCACACCTCCCTCTCCCTGGCAACAGACTCCAGCACAACTTTACTATACACTACTACACTATACACTACTATACACTACACAATACACTACACTATACACTACACTATAAATTACACTACTACACATTACACTACTATACACTACACTATACACTACTACACATTACACTACTATACACTACACTACTATACATTACACTATACACTACTACACATAACACTACTATACATTACACTATACACTACACTACTATACATTACACTATACACTACTACACATTACACTACTATACACTACACTACTATACATTACACTATACACTACTACACATTACACTACTATACATTACACTATACACTACTACACATTACACTACTATACACTACACTATACACTACTACACATTACACTACTATACACTACACTATACACTACTACACATTACACTACTATACACTACGCTATACACTACACTATACACAGATTCTAGCTCTTCCTGGGGCATTCCCATGCGACGTAGCCCGCCAGCAGCAGCAGCGGCGGCGTGTGGGATGCGTCTGACGACATCAAAGAAGACGGCCGTGGAGGGGCGGGGCGTCTCAGGGGGGGTGGGGGGTGGAGGGGCGGGGCGTCTCAGGGGGGGGGCGGGGCGTCTCGGGGGGGTGGGGGGCGGGGCGTCTCGGGGGGGTGGAGGGGCGGGGCGTCTCGGGGGGGGGGGGGGGGCTCAGCTGAGATCACCCAGCTCGGAGTCTGCGCACGTGCCAGGGGTGGCACAGGCGGGTTCTCTACAATCGGGTTTAATCGTCTTTTTATATTAAACCCGATCATCTGAGATTGGTAGAAATCCGGTTTAATTGGTTCTAATTGCAGAGCCGCACTTCGCCAACTTCTCGGCTTCATCCATTCCAAGCGAAGGAACTCACTGGCGCCCACGATTGTGGAGGAGAAGCTCGTGTTCATCAAGACCAACCTGCCCGCCGCATTCTACGACTACCCCGTGCCCGACGGCCCCCCCGAGTACGATAGCAGCACCGACGAGGAAGCAGCCTAAGCCTTGGGGATCAGAGTTTCGTATTCATTAAACCAGGTTTTAATTCCCCGAAATCGGGTTTAATTGTATCAAAATAAAAGCCCGATGCCTGCCGCTGGAGAAATCGGGTTTTCCCCACCCAAGACTCGTGCTGCTGGTGGTGGTGGTGGCCTGCACTCGTCCCAGGCCACCACCACCACCACCGCTCTGGACGTGGGCGAACCGGCCCGTGCCACGTGCACGGGAAGTTGGCCACGCGCGCGCCGATTGTTTGATTCGCGCGCTGATTTGCGGCGGTCATTCTCGTGGACTCCGTTGCAGGAGAGGAGTGCACGATGTTGACCTGTGTGTGCGCGTGTGTGGATAAGGGGCCGTCCATAAATGACGTCACGCACCTTGGGGAGGGGGGGTTCAGACATTTGTGACGATGTGTGACGAGGGGAGGGGGGGGTTGAGAAATGTGACGTCACATCTAAATGCGCAACTTTAAATAAATATAGACGACACGTTCTACTTGATTAAATTGGCTTTTTCATAAATGTTTTCTCCTACAACATCAGAGTGCAGCGCCACATTAAATACGCACTACAATGACATGAGTTTAAAGCGATTTGAAGCATGTTTTTTTTGGGGGGGGGGCAGAGCTTTGTGACGTCATATTTGAGAGGGGGAGGGTCTGACTTTTTGTGACGCCGTGTTACGAGGGGGGAGGGGGTAAAAAATCGTCCAAAATCGCGTGACGTCATTTATGGACGGCCCCTAAGGTCACGAAGCAGTCCTTCACGAGCCGCACGCACAGCCACAGGGTTTGCCGACCCCTGACCTGGCAGTATAAGTGGGAACGCCATGTGTGTGTGCGCAGCGTGTCTGTAGATTGGGTTTCTTTCGCGCCGTACGTAGCCAACCTTGCCGATCGGAGTTATGGGGCGCGTGCTGACTGTCTCCGGGTTTTGTGTCCTGCGGGAAGATGGCGACCCTCAGGTGTGAGTGGCTCTGAGCGTCGTAGCGAAGCGTGCACGGGACACCCAGGCGGAGGGGTGAGCGAGCCAGAGAGCGAGCGAGAGCGAGGGGGTGACTGGAGTCATTGGAGGGGTGGGCACAGGTCGCAGTTTGACCTTGTGCCTGATGATCCCAGTCGCACAAGCATCACATGTAGCTACGAGCCCCGCACTTTCAAGGGCCTAATGTTTCCAGGCTATCAATTACGATTCAGTGATTCTGCACTTGCTCTATTACTCTAGTACTATACCGCCTTCAACTATTATGAACAACCGGGTGTTGAAGGTTAGCGATTTGTCGTATTATTTGGCTGTATAGCTTAAATACAATTACTTTACTATGCAAGTCAAACATTTGTGTTTTAAGAATTATGTTTATTTATATATATAGGGCCCCTTTATAACACATGCTACAGGCCTCGCACTCGCTTAATCCGGCACTGGTTTGACCTGGTACAGTCTTGGGAAATTGGCAGGTGGTGTGTCGGGTGGCAGACGTCGTGCCGAGATCTCGCAACGATATTGCCGTGCTCAACTTGCTTACAGCAGACTGTACAGTTCCGACAGACCTCGTGCTGTATGAGGAAGGCAGCTACACGATATAACTCGTTTCATTTTACCAGGTAAGGCCCACGCAGCTGTATTGCTATTTTTCGTAAGCGACCCGGCCACGAAGGATAAATCAGCAAAGTGGCTTATCATGTGGAAATTTATAGCAGCCAAATACTCTAAACGGGTGACGCTGATTCTAAATGTGGAGGGAAAAAACACGTGGAGAGAGAGACACCGCAAACTCCAAATATACAGCAACAGGCGTCAGGGTCGGGATCGAACCCACGACCTCCTGCATACCAGGCGAGGGAGTTAACATCTCCTAGCCACAGTGGCTCCCCAAGTTGACAATCGTATGGGAAGTGCTCAGGGCAGCGCGTGGAGAAGCGACGCCAGGTCTTGCCCGAGAGGGCCCGCACTCTGCCACTCTGGCACGAGGCTGGTTTTTATGGCGCGGCAGTAACCATCGACGTTTTTTTATTTTTTATTCTGACAGATGGAATTTAGCCAAATTGAGTATAAAAAACATGATTCAATTATCGGTGGCTGGGATTTTTGTTTTATATATCCGTCTCATGGTGTTCAAGAAAAATAAACTTCTCTCTTTCTGATAACGGTGCGTCTCTACGATTGGCATCATGTCATGAGATGACTACATCTCTTTTTGGAACTCTAGCAAGTGAGCATTGGACCACCCTGTGTCGGAGTGCAGCTCCTAGGGATGGCTTTACAGAACTACTTCTGAAGTCCCTTCAAAATCTCATTGTTCATATTGGGTTGTGTACATTTTAAAGTACCCGCTTAGAGTATTGGACACATAGCAATTAACTAAATTAATCCTCAGAGCTGATATTTCTTGCATTAAGTAAATTGAACGTGATGGCGGTTTTTATTTTTGCAGTCATTCGTGGTCGTGCTGAGACCATCAGCTCGTGACATTTGAGAAGCCAGTTTAATCAGAGCCGGTTGAAACCCGGGTTTGAACCCAGGTTCCCAGCAGTGCTGGCGAAGTGAGGCTCAGTACCCTGCAGACTATATTCTGTTTGTGCTTATGGCAATGTGTACGTCAATATGCAAAGACATAGGCAAATATCCCCCTATAGCCTTAACAGACTGTTGGAGCAAGTGCTGTTAGCGAGTAGCACCGATGAAGGCCGGCACGGCACATGAAGGGGTGGGTGGCCAGCACCACGCCCGACCGCCTTTGTCTCCCTCGTGCCGATGTTTACACACCGCACCGGGTACTAATTTGAGGCTAAGTCGAGCTAGGGGATGCCCAGGACCGGTTTAGATAATCGTCGCCGGCGTTGGCGGTGAGCGGGGAATCGAACTCATGTGGCAGCGTAGCGCTAA